TTTTGAACAGGACTGAATGCGGGATGTGAGGAATAGCAATAGAAAAAGCTCGGACACTTTTGGCGATGGTGAGAATGTGCAGGAAAGTTCATCTAAACTACATAAAGACTTTTTCTTCAGATGTTTTTGTTGAGGAAAAGACTCGTTAATAAATAAAGACTAAAACGGTACTTTTAGGATGTTCTTTAAAACGATGTCTGTACGGTAGAGTATATCTGAATTTGATACTTTACTGTTCAATAATGTTCAACAGACTTTTTCAGATTTTCAAAGGCTAATGCCAATAAAGCACAGGGCGACTGATTGCTGATATAACATGCCAATATACTGTTTTCTTGTGTTTGTTGCATCCGATAATAAATATAACAATTTAAGAACAAAAGCTAAATAAACATGAATTTACTCTGTTTTTGTATGCATTACCTCTGTTTGCTTGAGTATATCTGAAATTTTGATTTCAATTTAACTCCTACTTTTGTCAGCATAAAAAGGGAGAAGCGGCGTCCGTCCCCTGAAGATGACGATGTCATCATCTTGTCAGATAATGACTCCCCCAGTTCCCCGATGAATGGCTTGAGACACTTCAAGGAGCTGGACATAGACCTGCTCATGGTGAGAAGCTAAACGTCGCGCAACTGCCCGGCTACTGTACTACTAAAGCACTGGAGACACGTTAAAATTAGGGTGGCAAATAACTATTATTTTCAAAATCCATTAATTTGCCAATCATTTTCTTGAGTAATAGATAATTGTTTCTCCTGTAAATTATAGGGAAAAGTTTAAAATGTCCCTTCCGAGTTTCTCAATGTGAAGTCTTTACATTTGTTGTCCTTCCAAAATCCAAGGATATTTAGTTTAATGTGAAATAAAACCACGACAAGAAGCTAAAAACAGCATTGTTGCCTAAAAATTATATGAATGGTTAATCTGTTATTAATATCGGTGGCACTTATTTTTATCGTGATCATAAGTTGACTCATCATTGGCGTAACTTTTGCATTGGCTATTACTTTTTTAAAGATTTTAACTGTGGACATGTTTTATTTCTGAATAGTTAATTTACAGTGTATGCATTTCATTGTCTGAACAAAGTAGTTGAAAGTGGACAGTTTGGCTCCATGATCAAATGTTAATGTCCTTTGTAAAGCAAATGATGAAAGCGATGTTGTTTTCTTTGGATTGTAGAAGAGCAGCCCAGCGGAGAGGGTGCACATCATTAAGCAGCTGAAGGAGGAGCTGAGACTGGAGGAGGCCAAGCTGGTGCTTCTGAAGAAACTTCGACAGAGCCAGATACACAAGGACACACCTCAGAATGTAAACGGTTCTCTCCCACATCAGCAGAGCCACACAATTAGTTGCACATCCCCACAACACAGTCTACCACTTAAAACATCCTTTTTATTTTTTTAATGTCTGTCTCAATTTTCTTTTCAGCCCTCCGGTCTGTCCGGCTCCTCTGCGCCTCCTCCTCTCATTCGAGGAACAATTACAAGCAACAAAGGCTCTCAGCAGGTTAATGCTCTACTAACACACTTAGGCAGCCTATCTGTGTGACAGCACCTTTATTCTATAATTCATATTGTTTGTGATTTTATTTTTCTTTGACTAGATTTTGACAGCCAAGAGTTCAGGCACGGTCATCCCTCCGCCGCTGGTGAGAGGAGGGCAGCAGATGTCGTCCAAACATAGCTCCCAGATCATAATGCCACCTCTGGTCAGAGGGGCACAGGTGAGTCAAGGGAATATGTTAACAACATGCTTAGCTATTAAAATGACTTTTTATTTGGTTTAAATGTCAGGGCAATGATAGCCTGAGTTGTACCACTGCGGTTTTTCACTCTTGGACAATCTACAGGCAGATTAATTCACATACATTAGTACTTATGATCTCTTTTTGCAAGTCTCTCTTTGTGTGCACCTTTTGCTTGGGGCTTTTGATGCCCCTCCCTTGTTCCATCCCTCTCATTGTACTAGTTAGCCCATCTCTATCTCTCCACAGCAAATCCACGCTCTGCGCCAGCAGCAGCAGCAGTTGGCTGCCTCTGGAGGATCAGGACCCCCTCCTCTGCTGATGGGCTCCAGGACGTCAGCCCCCACAAATCAAGGCCAGAGAGGAATGCTCAACTCAGGCCTCATCAGAATTGGTAGCAGTGTAAACACACTGGTCAGTATCTCACAGTTGCTTTAAGCACTTACATACTAACAAAGCACTTATATACTAACAAAGGACTGGCTTATCTAAAGCCTGTTGAGTAGCACTTAAAATGTTTTGGCTCTATGAAACCTAATGTACTTATATGATTCTGTTTTCTTCAAGTTTGTATCTTCTTGGTCGAATGCACTTATTGTAAGTCGCTTTGGATAAAAGCATCATCTAAATGAAATGTAATGTAAACATTGCATGAACAATGTGTTTTGAACCCATTGTGGAAAATTAAAATGTCCGAATCATGTTGAGGTACTTTTAATTTGCCTGATAAGTATTTGTGCACAAACTGACCAAACAAATGCTTGTTCCGGTTTAGAAACTGATCTTCAATCGTCTTAATTTCAGTAAAAAAATCTAGTACCAAAAAAGAAACGGATAGCATTAGTTAACAATAACTTTCATCCTTGATCACAATTTCCCAATCAAATTGTAGGCTAACATTATTTATAAACAAACAATAAACATGTATTTGTATAGGCCTACTTGCTGATCTGCTGATCCAGCAGAATACAGACGGAACAGATTCCTCCATTCTAGATCCGTCTTTATAGCTGAAGAAATGGATGAAAGCCTTCAAAAAATGGTGGCTTTTTATTTTTTATATCAGCGTTTGAGGCGAAGAAAGCGGGCGTCTAAACGCTTGAGGCTTTGTACTACTATTCCGGTGCGAAACAAATCGACACCACATCATTTTACCAGATTAAAACTATTAGCATTATGTTGTTTACATTAAAGCTAACTTTTAGCTACAGCTTAATAAACTAGCATAGTTGTCGTCGCTAACGTCGGGGGCTGTACCGTGTGCTTCCGTTTACAATTTGTCGTCGGTAAACTGACGGTTAACAACTGTTTTATATGACTTAACTACAGAAGAAAAGCTTTTAAAACAACTTTGCATATTGAGTTAAATGTAATGACCAATATAATGACTTAGTTTATGAGGTGGCAAATCTCGTAGGTCAAACAGTTGACTGCAAGTGATAGCCCGCCAGTTAGAAACAAAACACTTCAGTCTATAAATATTGTGTACGTCTTTATCTGGTAATACTGTGAAATCCACTGCTTACATTACCTTCACTTTAGGTAAACATGACGCAATTACCCATAACCACCCTTTTCTTTCGGAGGGCTGAAATGAAGGTGACGTTACAGTGTCGTGTGATAAATGTACCTAGAAAACGTGGTTGTCTGTTTAGGTGGTTTTGCTAAAAACAGGTAGTGACATGTCTTAATAATCACAAACCTACTGTTTAATTGAATGCATGCTATTCTTTAGACCTATAAATCACTGAGGGCTATACTATCGATCGTGGTTGGTCAATAGCTATACATGTAATATGAGCCATAGTTGTACAATTGAATAATTGTATTCTATAGGTGTTGTTAAATATTTTCATATTTGAAATGGTCTAAGGAAGCTTTGAATAGGGGTCCAATAGTATGATCATAATCATCACATTTGGTAACTTCAGCATTGCTCAGACAAGTAAAAAATATTCTGATCATGACTGGGTCTTTACACCTGTCTTGTTTCTGCATGCCTTTGCTTGTTTCATAGGCCTCAGCATCCAGTTTGAAGGGCTCTTCCTCAGGACGCGGCTGGTCTTTGATTGGCGTGAATGAGTCTCCAGCCAGCCGCCGAGCTGCAGCTAAACTCGCCCTGCGCAAACAACTGGAGAAGACCCTGCTGGAGATTCCCCCACCCAAACCCCCTGCTCCAGAGTTTAACTTCCTGCCCTCTGCGGCCAATAATGAGTTCATTTACCTGGTGGGACTCGAGGAAGTGGTACAGAATCTGCTTGATACCATCCATAGAGGTGTGTTACTTTTTACTTTTTTGTTTACTTTATTATTTTCTTTGCTGTTAATGTTATAGGTCCAGTGTATATCTTATGATGGATTGCCATTGGAAACATTGAAAAGCAATTTTGTGATATCTGATGGGAATGTAGTATATTGTGACATTTTTGAACAACTAATAGAAAAATTCATTGAGAAAATGATTCATGAAAATACTCATTAGTTTCAGCCCTTGGTGTTAGGCTAAGATATGGGACTTGTGTTAGCAATTGTCTTTACCCAATGTTATGGAATTGAAGTCATGCCTTCACCACTTTCACCAAGGAGTTAAATATATTGGTCTCCCTGTATCTATTTCTTTATAATGACTTGTGTGACACCAAACAAGCACCTCTGTATGTTTTCAATCAGTTTCCCATCTCACTCCATCCAGGAAAGACAGGTGTAGCACTGTCCAAGACCATTCCCAGAGAGCCCTTCACCTGCACCCAGTGCAACACTGACTTCACCTGCCGCTGGAGACATGACAAGACAAAAGGCGGGGCACTCCTCTGTGAACACTGTATGTCATCCAATCAGAAAAAGCTTTTAAAGGCGGAGCATACCAATAGGCGGAAAGCGGCGTTTGTCAAAGCACTGCAACAAGAGCAGGAAATAGAGCAGCGCATTTTTCAGCAGACTTCCTCATCAGTGTCTCGCAGTAGCTCCTCTTCGTCGATGAAGGCTGAGAAGCTGGTGTCCCATCAGCTGAAGCAGGCACACGCCAGAGCGTCCTCTATGCACCACCTCCAACAGGCCAGCCGAGGATCCAACATGGTCTACCATCACTCAATCAAGCAGGTTGGAGTAATTTGTTATCTTAAAGAGAAGCATTTGTGCGGTCCAGAGAACTGTAACTTACGATCCACTGTATGTTTCTTAACTCCCCTCAGAGTTCCCAGGGCCAGCTGTCCCATGGTGTCTCATCCTTGGGGCTGAGGGGCGTCCCCCACTCTTTCTCCTCCTCCTCCCAGCTGCAGAGTGCAGTGGCGGCTGCAGCTTTGGTCAGCCGGCCAGGGAAGCATGCATCCCCACCGCTCTGTCCAGAGTTCAAAGGTGAGCAGCAGTGGAACCGCCGGCGGCAGGAATATCAGCGGTGGTAGTGCTTCATCCACTGCATGGAAGAAGCAGAGCAGGTAGACTCACATTAATACCAGCCTGCCGACTGACATCGGCTCTCTTTCAAATTCCTGTCTGGTCCCGAAGCAATCCTTGAACATCCTACTTTCAAACATTTCTAAAGTTAAGGAATCTTATACAAAAGTTGAGGAGGAAATGTTTTCGGACAAGGCAATCCCACTCTCCAGTCCTACCCCTGCCAGTGATCTCAATAATTCTCTTTTAGTCCCCCAGTTTGGTGGTTTGTTAGTTTTCCTTGGGTGTCACTCCTAATCCTTAGAGTGAGATGTTTCTCATTATCTTTTAAGTCTGTCTGTTTTCTATTGGGAAACGGGTTGATATATCGTCAGGCGTTCTGAAATGATTGTTCTACTTGNTTACCCCCCATTTCTCAAGGGCCGTGATTATGAAGAAAAACTAAACACTTGCGTTTATTCCCCATGACTTGCCTAGATTTGCCCTTTTAATGCCCCTTTTTTTCATGAGCCCACACTTGCGTTCCAAAATACTATTCCAAAAATTAAATTACAACCGCCTCTAGGGAAATAATAGTACATGTTTGTCAAGAAGACAAACGGATAAAGTTTCGAGAAACTAAATTCACTATTTAACGTCTATTACACTTACGTGAGTTAATTTGCCCGTCCATGTTTAGTCGTTCCTCGGTACCTCCATGTATGTACAGAATAAAAAAACAAGAATAAGTTAAGGTATTAATACTACCGGCACTCGTACACATTGGAGAATGAACGCATCTTATAGATAATAGTACGTTTACCTAATGTCTTCCCGAACAGGAGTACTGCAACCCTGGTTCCAAGAGTTCGTTAGGGAAGGCGGTATACCGTTTAACTAGGGAAACTACAAACTTGAATGATGTCATGTCCTTTCCTGTCTCCATTCATTGCTCTCTTCTAACATTCTCCTCTCCTATATGACATCCTCCAGAAGCAAAGATTCTCTTCTTGTTGTGTCGTATACGACCGCTGAGTTGACTTAAAGGTTTTTTGTTTTTGTAAAAAATTAGGCGACCGAATCAGAAACAGACAGACAACACAAAACCAAAACTCGACTTCCAGCTTGTTACCAAAACGAAAAAAATAGATATTAATCCTTTTCAGGTTTTTGGAGTACTAGTAACTCGTTGAAAGTTTCAACATTTTCGATTAAACAATGAATTATATTTCTCCCTACCTTCAAAACTGCTAGTACCTAATCAACACATAAGGTAAAAAAAGTTGGTTATGAAAAAGTGGAAAAATCCCCCAATACGTAAATAATTTTTTTTTCATCTTTAATTTTCCCTTAGATACTTCAGTGAAAAACGTAATAATTACGACAAAAACTACCGTCGTTTTTAACGTTACCGTTCCCCTTTCACTGATGTTTTTCCTGTATGCGTGCGGTGAGCATGTCTCAATTTTATAGATGAGGAAAGGAGAGGAGGGAGGAGGGAGAAGAGGAAAATAGAGGCGGAAGGGAAAAAAGAGGAGAGGGATCAGGAATTTAAAGATAACGTTGCACATTAGTAGTTATGTGTCCATTGTCAACGCACTTTGCAAAAAGGATTAAGTTTCAGACGAATGAAATTTACCCCTTAGAACCAATGCCACCGTTAACTTATGCCATTCAATAACTTTAAAGTAACTTCTAAATTACTTCTCGTTTATTTACAAGAGGGCCAATTCGTTGACAACGTCGGCGTCTTCACCTTTCTGGGTGGGTATAATATAGACAGTCAATCTCTCAATCCTCTTTCCTGAACTGTTCGTCATTTACTCTTATATCTACTTCTTATAACATTAAAGAAAATTGTTAGGTTACAAAGTAGTCGGTATTAATACCTGTTTGTTCTATACACTCTAAAAAATGTAAAGTACCTTGTGTGTAACACGTGGTCACTGTGCGACTTTTTACTTTTATGTAAAAGAAATTAAATGTTGGATCTCAACTGAAAATAGTTAAACCTTTACAATAAACAGTAGCTGACAGACTCTCGTTCTAAGTCTGTCAAGTAAAATACTAAAGGTAAGTCGAAAATACGTCCCACTATTAATGTCCTACTAATCACTTTACTTAGGGTAGTTTACTTTTCCTACATAGACTCAAGTTATTACCCGACGAGACCCGAACGTACAGGTGGTAGCTCTCTGGTTTCTAGAGAGGTGGTACTATCCTGGGGAGAAAAAAGTACCAATTTCTATTGGCTGGGCGAATTGCAAACCACGCCCCGTAAAACTCTGAAAGGTTTTGTGAAGCCGCCATTGTATTTGCTGGCATTAGCATTATTAGCATTAGCCCTGCGCACCAACGGAGAGACAATAACTTATGGCAACACAAAAAAAAAACATGGGAGATGAGGAGATGAGGAGGTGTCGGTTTTCTGGCGATTTCAGTAGAAGCTGCTGGGACTGAAGCCTGTCCCCAACTCCGGGGACTTCCGGCCGGGGACTTGGGTGGCAGTATACGCCGTGAAGTTGTTTGCAGCATGCCAGTAAACCCAAAGCTGAAGAAGACAAAGTGACGTCAGCGGCTTCATTTGCGTAATCTTCCCTAAGGGAATTTATTCCGGTGTGAACGCGATCTGTACTAAGTTCCATGGGGGCACTAAGTGCCGGCACTAAGTACGGCAAAGTACTTGGTGTGAAAGCGGATACTGTCACATTAATCACAGTGACTGGGTTCATTTAGATTGTGTGTGTGTGTTTGGGTTTACAAGTCTGAGCATGTGTTAACAAGGCTGTATGCATTCTCTCTGCATCACTGATTCACATCACCTGTAATGAGATTACACGCTCTATATTCATGGCTGCACAAATACTGGCAGAAGGAGTGCTACACAAACATTGCTATTTTCTTGACCTTGAAATGATCTTTCGAATCTGTAGGGTGTTTTTGTTCTCAGCGCACACGGCACAAAGATGGCAGTAGGAGCTGCAAACAGAAGATGTCTTTGGAATAAGCAAGCAAAAAAAGTTTAGTTAAAAGTTAGTTTTTTGCGATAACATAGTCTGTATGATTGAACAATGGTTTCTGTATAAGGGATCATTAACTAATACACATAGCACCTTTTTTTGGCAGAAAGGCGCTAGCAGGGCGCTCGGGAACACACCAACCAAAACGTATTTGCTCTTACAGTTTGTATGAATGAGCTTGTCCCTGCTCTGTCTGACAGCCTTATAGGAAGGGAAACAAGACCTCCAACTCATACGACTAAATAGGTCTGATGTGCCCCGCAATGAAATTGAGTTTGACACTCCTGGGCTAAAACATCGAACTACCTATAATCCTCAGCTATCGTTGAAGCTCGGTGATTTGGATGTTTTAGCCGCAATGCACGTTGCGATATGGTGTTTATGCGATGTGAAATCCGAAAACATAAAAAAAAAAGAGGAAATAATACTTTATTCCGAGTGTGCATGCTTTTCTCTTTGAAAGTCATCACATAACGGCATTGTAATAAACGGTTCGGCTGCATTAAATATTACACATCTGCCGTAGTTCTCTATTGATAGAGTCCTGATTAGAAGACCTTTGGACAAACTGGAAGAAATGCCGCGTGTGTGTCACGCTCGGTGTAACTGACCAGGTCGTTTTTTTGTTGGTTAGTGTCGTCACGAAGGGACCGACCGAGAACCGAGGTTAGTGTTTGTCTTCTCAAGAGGATTTCCTTATGGGCAAAGCGATATCACAACCTTTACGCCACCACATAAGACTTTACGAACACCGTAATCACTTTACGACACCGCAAATCCACTTTACGACCTATTTGACTACAAAAAATCAACTTAGTGTGGGAGACGGTTGATCTGCGTACGTAACGTTAAATGTTTAGATACTATTGCATATTTTTGTAAAGAGTAACTTTACAAAACGTATATACATCCCCGAACTTAGGTCTCCCCTTATGGAGAAGAGAACCATTTTCCAAAGAATCCGACCCCCGTCTCCAAATCGGAACTGTCTAAGGGACGACTCGCCCAAGACCCCTTCACTCACACTTTTCCTTGGTGCTATCTCGTACACTCCCAAAATACGGGACACTTCACCGGACGACTACCTCTCAGTCTAGCTAATGGCTTGTTAGATTTAGAGACTAACAATGGCGACTTATATGTAACACGAACGAAATCGGTGTTTTCTCTTTTCCTGAACACCATGAGTTATCTTTTTTTTTTTTTCTCTCTCGGTTGGTATCCTCTCTCCGGTTTCTAGTCGTTACACTTATTGCATAGATTGAGAGAAATGCGACTCCTATCTAACACGTATATCTACAGAGAAACTTTCTGTGGTTTTTTCGGTACTACTATAAAGACGGTATCTTAGAACTATCAAGACCCAGCGACAGAAACTCATCCCTGCCGCCTCTTAGAGGGCGTCAAGCTGTTTAGACCACCGCAATACATACTTACGTGTATTCACGAGTTCAGACTGACGGACTTGCATCGAGCTAGAGAGAGAAAAGGAGGAGGAGGCAACAACAACACTCTCTCTAGCTCGACGTCAAGTCCGTCAGTTGCAACCGTGAATACTGACGTAAGTATTATTGCGGTTGGGTCCTAAACACTTGACGCCTCTAAAAGGGGGGAGGGGTGCAGGATGAGTTTCTGTCGTCTTGGGCTACTGATAGATTCTAAAAGATATCCGGTCTTTAAGTAGTCTTACCCGAAAACACACAGAAGTCTCGTAGTGATATACGCTTAGGACAATTAGGAGTCGCATTCTTCTTGCAAATCCTATGCATAAGGTAGTAACGACTAGAACGAAGAGAGGATACCACCGAGAAGACAAAGATACTCATGGTGTTCAGGAAAGACGATTTCGGTCGGTACATATAAGTCGTCCCAATTTGTTAGTCTCTAAAACTAACCCAGCCATTAGCTAGCTGAGAGTAGTCGTCGTGAAGTGTCCCGTTATTTTGGGAGTGTACGAGGATTAGAAACACCAAGGAAAGTGTAGTGAAGGGTTCTGGCGGAGTCGTCCTTGCGACAGGTTCCG